GTCCTCTCTCTCTCTCTCTTTCTCTCTCTCTCTCTCACACACACACACACACACACACACACACACACACACACACACACACACACACACACACACAGAGGTTAGCTTTCCCTGGGATAATGCCCAAAACACTGCCCAATCTTGACATCAGATCTCATTAATCAATGGCTGGAGAGGTGCTGTCAACGGTCTTAAACCACGAGTACACCCGGGCCTGGTGGCCTTCCATTCCGCACCAAGCTTTTCTGAACCGCCCACGGTGCACTTTGTTTCTTTTTTGGCTGGCATCGTCCTCCATTGTCATCCGGCAGCTCCGAGCCCCAAAATTTTTGTAGGCTATGAAAGATTTCTCCACAAGGCTGGGGCCGTGTACTGGCGGTTGAAGCTTGCATAAGGACGCTGACTCTCCACAAAGACCCTCATCTCAGCCTCAACTTTCCCTATCTCATCCTCTACGACCACCCCTCTGTTATAACAGGCGGAAATAAGAAGTTCAGTCAAACTCAATCACCCACTCACTTCCATTCAGTGACTCATTTCACCAAGTACCCTTCTTCTCCTGAACATAACGCATATGCGTTGTAAACAAATACAACGCACAGGGTGCATTCTATTCTAATACAAGGCATATGCTTTCTATTCTGAAGAATAGCCCTAGTTTTCGAATACAACGCACATGCACTCTATATTCGATTTTTTAATTTTTTTTTTGAATTTTTCGAAAACTTGAAGACAACGCACATGCGTTATGTTCGGGGGAAGAAGGGTGGTGATGATCCGAACCTACCAGTCGAAACATTCAGGCAGGAAATGGTTCAGCAATTTGCCCACAAAGTGGCGAACGCTAAGACAAGTGACGAACGGGGCACGGCTGACTGATGGACAACAGGAAGACGGCGGATGTGCCTGGTACCATACAAGGTAAGGTAAGGTAAGTAGCCCAGCGGCATCTGCCTTGGCCAAGGACATGCCCAGCTGTCTGCAGACACCAAACCTGAGCCGCATGTGCAATGGAGTTATGAAAACAACGCAGAAACGGGAACCACCACCACGACAAAACAAGCAGCAGATTTTTATACCGCATAGGCGCATACCTACAGAGCATTGTTAACCATGCTCGTGGAAAAGTTATGTGAATTCCGTTCATTCCCTGGAGGAGGAAGTGGGGTGGAGGGGGGGGAGAGTAGAGGAGTTCATAAGAGCAGCAGGCAGTTGCAGGGCGTGATTCCGCGTTTGTGTGTGCTCAGATGCTGGACTACAGACCATCAACATCCATCCTTTTGCTTTGCCTACTCATTGCTCTCACCTCATTCTTTACATGCATCATTGTGTCGTATATGCAGAAGCCTTCCGTCTCCATTCCAACCTGAACATCAGAGGTCGCACACATATTCATTCATCCATCCATCCATCCATCCATCCAACAAAGTCACTGACAAAAACAATTCCATCCATTTTTTTTCATTCATTCATTCTGCACTGAAACCTCAATGATTCAACACCAGTGAGTGCCCGTATTCACACCTCATGCATATATGAGATCACACAAAGTTCACACTGAAGAACAGAGAGATTAAGACCAGGTAACGCAGCTTATGAATTCCAACAAGTTATTACAAGAGCAGTAAGAGTTCAAGTCCCCAGCGCTCATCAGTGCATGCCAAAGGTAACCAGTAACCAGCATAAAACTCTCTCTCAGGTAAGTATCTCTTTCTCACTGCTCTTCTCTCTTGTGAATCACTACTCCTTACTGGTCTTCTCTCCAACTATGTCCTCACTGTGTCTTCTCTCCCTACATACGAGCACACTCACTAACTTCTACTCAAGGATCTAATCTGAATACACCCACTGTCAACTCTACTAACCCCTCTGTAGTCTACTACTATCTGCTAACATTAACACCCTGCGCTGGCGCAGCTATGGCTACCTTCTCCCTCCCAGCGCTCTCTCTCTCTCTCTCTCTCTCTCTCTCTCTCTCTCTCTCTCTCTCTCTCTCTCTCTCTTAGCACAGCACTCTGGCTTCAGCGCTATGCCCCTCACATCAGTGCACAAATGCACCAGCACTTCCACACTTCTTGCGAATAAGCAATCTGCCCGAATGGTAGGCTGGCCAGTCCTTTTGTAGTCTTGGAATGCACTTCAACTCGTGCCAGCCTCTGCTTTCTGGGGCCTGACTGGTTCCGGTACCACATCCCCACGGCCTGTCTAGTTCTGAATTTCAAGGCCTGGAACCTTCCCGAATTCCCATTGGTCTGCTGCTGCTTGGGCCTTTGAGTCACGACTTTTCACTTGTGAACATGACTTTTAACTGTGGGCTGTGACTCCTGCTTCTGGGACATGACTCTTGCCTGTAGAACTGGCCTTTTACTCGTGGGATGTGACTCTTTACTATGACTTTTCATTATGAGTCGTGACTCTTGCCCCTAAGATGTGACTGTTTGCTGGGTGCCTGTTGGACTGGACTGCTGAGGTACCCGACTGTGACTTTTCTGAATTTGACGAACCCGGCCTCTCTTGACCAGGGCCTCTGACCCTGAGACCCGATTTTTGGGGTCTGAATCGTGGAAGGCCTTTCAATTCAATCAATCAATTCAATCAATCAATCAATCAATCAATCAGTCAATCAATTCAATCAATCAATCAATCAATCAATTCAATCAATCAATCAATCAATCAATCGCCCATCCGTGCATTCACTCACTCACTTGGCTCGCTCACTAAATCACTCGCCCATGAATTCACTTCACTCACTCACACGCGCACTCAGCTGCTTGCAGCCTCACACATTCACCCACCCACTTACTGACTCGCTCACACACTCACTCACCCATTTGTGCAATCTTCAAATTAATAATAATATAATACACGGGAACGTTTCGGCGCACGGGTGCTGCCCAACCTCGCAGTCTGCACTGGTTTGGATTGGCCTGGGACCCTAAAGTGGTGTCTCCAGTGAGGCTGCGACATAGGCAGGGGTGAGGGTAAGCGTGCACTTGTACTAGCAAACTACACAAATAGAGGCACAGGGTCGCAAATGCAATGCCGTAGGCAAGATAGTCCTGTCAGCTGCCAATTTCCATTTGCTATTCAGCACTGCGCGAGTCCATGGCAGATCCCTGAGGGACCACACGTTTGGATAGATGCAGTGCACCATGGATGATCATCACTACCTGCCGGTGCATAGAACCCCCTCAATTCCAGATACCCCCCTGCCCCCCCCCCCCACCCCACCCCACCAAATTCCAGACACCCCCAACCCCACGGGCCCAGTGTACATACATAACATCAAATGACTTCAAGATATGCCATTTGGACGGTGCAACTGG